CCAAAGTACTGGGATTACAGGCATGAGCCACCGCGCCCGGCCTGATCTGCTCTTTTATTATTTTTTTTTTAAACTAATTCTATAGGCACAAGAAGCCCCGCCTCCTTCAAATCCTACATCTGAACATGCTTTCTAGGATTTGAATGTTATCTCTGCAGGGACACCCCTCCAACCTCTTCATTACTGTTTTAAGATCTATAACAAGAGAAACAGGAATGTGTGTTTTCTCAAGAGGAACAGCTGAGCAGCATAAAACCCAACACATACTCAGGAGATGTCTAGATGTCTGTTAGGCTTCAAGGAATAAAAATGAACATGAATATTTTGATATCGTGAAGAGGAGGAAAAAAAATCCCTAGGCAGACAGCAGGTGTAGTCAGACTCTCTTTCCTCATCAATAGGGGCAAAGCAAATATTAAATCCAAATGGGGGCAGGCAACTTATTCCTTCAATTAACAAACACCTGTGTAGCACCTGCCACACCTCAGGCATGCGCTAAGTGCTGAGGAGCCATCGGTGAGCCCCACAGAACTCTCTGCCATCACAACACTTCCTTCTCAGGGAAGGCCAATGATAGACCTGAAGGATGTAGAATTCTGCATGGTGCCAAGGGCCGCAGGGAAGAGAGATGCAGGGAAATGAGTGGGACCATTTTAAATAGGGCAGTCAAGGAAGGCCTCAGTTAGGAGATGATGGGAGCACTCTGCAGGGAGTGAGCTTCGGGCTCTCTTGGCGGAGTGTTTCAAACTAAATGACAGAAACCACAAAGGCCTGGACACAGGAGCATGACTCTGGGTTTGGGGAAAAACTGGTAGTTCCATGACAGTCCTGCGGGAGAGTCATTGAGGGGAAAAGTGGTAAGCCGGGAGGTTAGAGGGGAAGCAGAGTGCCTTAAAGAACTCACCCTTGCTTCATGGAATCTCGCATGAGCTGTGAAAATCCACACGTGGTGCTGGGTGCCAGGCATATAAGGGTGAACAAACTCCTTGAAGATCAACAAATAATCACATGAATAAATGCGAATCAGTTATACCAATTAATATATTCAGGTATCTAAACAAAACTACAGGGCCCCTTGATGGTATATTACAAGGACGCCCAAGCTGGCGGTGGAGGGGGCATCAGGAAATATCTCTCTGAGGTCAAGACATCCAGCTGACATCTAGTGAGTAAATAGGATGTATCCAGGGGGTCAAGGATGAGGATGCAAAGGAGAGAGGGTTGTAAGCAGAGGAGAAGCCTGTGTGCAGGCTCTCAGGTGCGGGAGGCCAGTGGCTCCAGGAGCGAAAAGAGGGCCAGCGTTGTTGGAGAGCAGAGGTTCAGGATGCAGGAGGAAGTGGGACCAAGAAATCTAGAATGGAGGCAGGGCCAGATCCCACGGGACCTTGTAAACTGGGCTAAAAGATTTTGCACTTTAGAGCAAGGGGATACCAAGAGAATTTGAAGTTAGAGAAGGACATCATTTTTTCATATGTGCTTTTAATGGAAAACAGATTATAAGGGCAAATATAAATCAGACCCCTTACAGGGAAGCTCTTGCAGAAAGTCCGCATAGCAGGTGGGTCTGGGGCCGCTGTTAAGATACAGTACTTGAAATCTACAGCACTCTCGTGCCAGTACTAAGCCCCAAGCATAAAGTGACAATAGGTAAGATATAAAAATAGAAAGTTAAAAGATATAGCCTATTCTCACTGGCTGTGGTGGCTCACGCCTATAATCCCAGCATTTGAGGGGACTGAGGTAGGTGGATCACTTAAGGCCAGGAATTCAAGAACAGCCTGGCTAACATGATGAAACCCTGTCTCTACTAAAAATATAAAACTTAGCTGGGTGTGGTGGCACACGCACCTGTAATTCCAGCTATTCAAGAGGCTGAGGCAGAGGCCAGGCGTGTGGCTCACTCTGCTAATCCTGGCATTCTGGGAGGCCGAGGCAAGTAGAACACTTGACGTCAGGAGTTCAAGACCAGCCTTGCCAATATGGTAAAACCGTGTCTCTACTAAAAATACAAAAATTAACTGGCCATTGTGGCATGTGCCTGTAATCTCAGCTACTTAGGAGGCTGAGGCAAGAGAATCGCTTGACCCTAGAAGGCAGAGGCTGCAGTGAACTGAGATCCTGCATCACGTCACTCTAGCCTGGGCAACAGAGCAAGACTCTGTCTCAAGAAAAAAAAAAAAAAAAAAAAAAAAGAGGCCGAGGCAGGAGAATCGCTTGAACCCGGGAGGTAGAGGTTGCATTGAGCCAAGATTGTGCCACTGCACTCCAGCCTGGGCAACAGAGCAAGACTCTGTCTCAAAAAACAAATAAACACAAAAGACATAGCCTATTCTCAAAAATGAATTAAACAATACTGCAAATGAAAAAGGGTCATAAATGCAAAGGATTGAACAAGGCTGAAGCAACAGGTTCCATGTCTACAAGACAGGAGCCCAGGCAGGAATCCAACTGCTGTGCTCCACAGCATTGAAGACTGGGGCTGGCTAAGGTCACTCTACTCCTGAAATGCATAGAGGGGGGAAGAAAACAAACAAGCTGGTGCCTACTACTGCCCGAGGACTAATGCTTTTAGCAAACCACAGGTCCCTGGAGGACCAAAGGACACAGACACCAAGAACTGGGCCAAGCTGCCTGGCAGCTCTGTGACTGTATTCCTGATACCCCAAATCTCATCAGGACCAGTGTTCTAAAGCCATATGAGCCTGGGGACCCAGAGAACTGATGGAGGAATTCTCAAAACCACTAGACAGGGTCAAGCCAAGAGGAGAAAGATTAATTCAACAAAAGAAAAGTCAACAATCGGAATCAAATTCATGTCAACTTAAATTTATTTTATAGAACAAAATATATGTTATATGTATGTAATATGTATAGTATGATGCTCAAATAATGCGATAATTTTCATTTAATAAGTAGAAGAAATCAAGAGGCAAAAGCAGTAAAGGAATGAAACATGAACAAATGATATAGAGAATGAAAAATCTTAAAAACAAAAAATACAGTTAGTAGTATAATAACAAATCAGTGGTAAGAACTTTAGTCTAGACACAACCAAAGAGAGAATACATGGACAGGAAATAGTCCTAAGGAAGAGAAAGCCTGTCCTCTTTAAGGCTGTCAAGAGCAGGAAAAAGTAAGGAATTGTTCAAGACCAGCAAATACAGGAAAAACAGGACAACTAAATTCATCGTGCATTTCTAGATGGAATCTGGACCAGAAACGAAAAAGAGACACTGATGGGACAGCTGACCAAAACTGAAAGAGGTCTGTGGGCACTGTAGCAGTTGACTTCAATGTTGAGTTGGGAAGTCATTAGTGAATATGTAGAAAGCTAGAAAGTCATTTAGTGAATACGTAGAAAAGATTTGGGGAAAACACCCTAGAATATTTAGGAGTTATCGGGCATTATGTCTGCAGCTGATTCTCAAATGGTCAGAAAAACACTAGGAATCATCATTAGAAAAGGGAGGAAAGAGAAAGAGAGAGAGAGAGAGAGAGAAAGAAACAGTAATGGAACATCTACAGTGCAATATTAACAGTTGACAGATGTGAAGGATGTAGAATTCAGTCAGGGAGTCTGGTTGGGGACATATGTGAGTTCTTTGCACAGTTCCTGTAATTTTTCTGTAAGTTTTAACTTATTTCTAAATAAACTACTTAAAATATAAATAGGAACTTAAACCTGTTTGAATTAAATTCCTATTTGCATTTTAGGAATTTAATTAAACTAATGACTAGTATCTCTTTAAGCAGGAGTAACTGATTCTTTTCTTCTTGAGATAGAGTCATGCACTGGAGTGTAGTGGCACAATCCCAGCTCGCTGCAAACTCCACCTCCATGGTTCAAGTGATTCTTGTGCCTCAGCCTCCCAAGTAGCTTGGACTACAGGCATGCACCACCACACTCAGTAAATATAGTATTTTTAGTAGAGATGGGTTTTCAACCATGTTGGCCAGGCTGGTCTCAAACTCCTGGCCTTAAGTTATCCACCTGCTTCAGCCTCGCAAAGTGCTGGGATTATGGGCATGAGCCAGTGCACCTAGCCAGGAATAAATGATTCTTGAAACCAGTATTTTTTTAGTCAAACAGGAAAATATTTATCTTACATACAAGCAGCCAACAAACATACAGAAAAATGTTCATCACTAATCATCAGAGACATGCAAATCAAAACAACGAGATACTATCTCACACCAGCCAAAATGGCAATTTTTAATAACAAGTCCAAAAATGACAGATGTTGGCAAGATTGTGGAGAAAAGAGAAAATTTATACATTGTTGGTAGGGATGTAAACTAGTTCAGCCCCTGTGGAAAGCAGTTTGGAGATTTTTCAAAGAACTGAAAATAAAACTACCATTTAACTCAGCAATCTCATATCTGGGTATATACCCAGAAGAAAATACATTGTTCTACCAAATGATTGCTCATTGCAGGACTATTCACAATAACAAAGACATGGAGTCAACCTAGGTGCCCACCAATGACAGATTAGATTTTTTTAATATGGCGTAGATACACCATGGAATACTACACAGCCAAAAAAAAAAGAACAAAATCATGTCTTTTGCAACAGCACGGATGCAGCGGGAAGCCATTACCCTGAGCAAATCGACACAGGAACAGAAAAGCAAATACAGCATGTTCTCACTTATAAAAGAGAGCTAAGCATCGGGTACACATGGACACAAAGATGGGAGCAATAGACCCTAGGGACTCCAAAGTGGGGAGGAAAGGGAGTGAGGTTAAAAATCTACCTATTAGGCACTACGTTCACTATTTGGGTGACGGGATCAATAGAACTCCGAATCTCAGCATTATGCAATGTACCCATGTAATAAACCTGTACATGCACCCTCAAATCTAAAATTTAAAAAAACGAAAACAAAGAGGCATTTACACAGAGAGGGAGAGAGAGAGAGAGAGAGAGAGAGAGAGAGAGAGAGAAAACATTTGCCTTAATATCTAAAAATTATCTCTTGCTATTCTTCCTTTCTTCTTGTCAGATGGGTAAGTGCCGACGTCATAACCAGGTTTGTGGATGGCACACCTCACAGGAGAACATGAAAACCCAATCATCACACTTATAAACCACAAAAGGATCGTACAAGTTATTACTAAAATGCAAAAATATAACTTTACTCCTCTTTGTCTTAAAATGATAATTGTAAAATGATGCTCAGTTAGGCTTTCATCTCAGGAATGCGAAGAACTGAGATGATCATGCATGCGCTGTCAATGATGGATCGATTTTCACTATTCACCCCTCCCACGGCAGAAGCTCGTTAGTGAGTCAGGAAGGCTTGATTATGACCTGACTGAAGTTAAGATCTGGGAAACAGCTTTCTTTTTCTCAGATTTCCTTTTCCCTGTGTCTGTGTTCTCAAATGCCTGGCTTCGCCTCTCTTCCCACTAGAGACATTATCTGTGCTGTTTTTTTAAATACACAGTATTAGTTGTTTTAAATTAGTAATAATAATAAAAGCAAATCTTTATAAAGTGCTTACTACGTGGATGAAGTATTTATATGACTAACTTTTCTTACAGGAACCATGGGGAGAATTAAAAGCAGAGCTTTGCATCACAAAAGCAGGACTCTGTTGAAAGTATTTCATGTCCTACATGTGGTTTATATAGTTAGGTCAGTCCAGCTTTGTTGTTGTTTTTCTATCTGTGATAACAGAGAAAACGTGGCTATCACGTTTAAAGGGTGATACAAGGTACTCCAGAGTACATCCTGAGGAAGTGATGACTTGGCAGAGTCTGGGAACGAGGGTCTGTAGGACCAGTTAAAGGAAACAGTGGTGTTTATACTAGAAAGAGAATGCTTCAAGGAATGCAAAAACCACTTTTAAATAGTCAACAAGACCGTTTGGGGAAGAAATTTCATTTATCCTGAGTAGATCAAAAGGACAAACCATCACCAATAAATATTACGTATATGATAGAATGTTATGAATTTTCTTTTTGTATTCTTTTTTTTCCTCCCCTGTGGGGTCCAAATTGGATTTTTAAAAAGGGAAACTAGCACATGATTCAAAGTCTCTGACACGGAGTGATCCGTGGCCCCACGAATCATGAACGCCCATCCCCAAACATCCATGAACATGAGCACTTCAAAGTAATTCCTAAGTAAAGCAAAACGTAAACTGGATGATACCTCAAGACTATTTCAAATCTAAGCTGCTATTATGACATCGCCAAAATTACAATCACTTGGCCTTACTACTCTTACAATTGAATATTGAAATACCTGGTTTATATATACACTCAGAAATGCATCTATGGTGAGGTCAGTCTGCACATAAGTGATATTTATGAATTTTAAGTACACAATAGACGGAGAGAATGAGAAGTTATTATTGAGCAAATGATTCATCATTTGGGAAGGAATGGGCTTTTTAGAAGCAATAGTAGAACAATGACGTCTATAAAATAAACATGTACTGGGCCACGTAATAATTACTTCTCGTGCACCTCTAGCATATGTTAAAATCATCATATCCATTGCTCACTAACCCGCAGTTTTGTCCTGCCCTGAGGCTATGACAGGGCTCATAAAGAAGGTGCTTTAAAGAAAGGGTGCAGCCCAGGCAACAATATCGGCCGCCCTCAGACTCAGGAATAACAACACATCCTGCTTCAGGCCAAAGCACAGAGTCCACCATGACATTCATGACCTCCAGGTTAAGCGTGACCTATAGAGAGAGAGGGCAAAAAAAAGCCAAAGGTTTCCATGTGCCAAGAAGCATCTTTTTTTTCCTTTTGGCATCAGCAGCAGTTTGAATTCTGTAGCGTAGCTCATCAGAGTGGCCCTTCAGGACAGGGTGGGGGGTGCAGCTGTGAAGGGCTGTGCCGGAGGTCCCAGGGGTGATGGCACCGTTCTGTATCTTGATGAGGGTGGAGGGCACCCAAAGCCACATGTGTGATAAAACTGCATACAACTACACAGACACACATAGATGCATGTAGAAACTGAATCTAAGTAGTCGGTAGCCTACTTAATAATTTTGTTCCAATGACAGTTTCCTAGTTTTGATACTATACTAAAATTAAGTAAGATGATACCATCGGGTGAAGCTGGGTGCGAGTTAAAGAGGGCTCTGTACCATTTAGGTGACTTCTGGTGAGTCTATACAGATTATTTCAAAATAAAAAGTACAAAAAAAGAAGAAACAGAAAAAGGAGGAGACAAAGGATGAGAAGAGGAAGAAAAAGATGAAGAGGAGGAGGAGGAAGAGGAAGAGAATGGCCTTTCAGTTACTTGCCTCAAAACAATGGATGAAATATGCATGAAACAGGAATGAAGGGATACCCCATAAGAATGGATTGTCTCTTTTCTAGGGAGTTGCAATTAGTCCCTAACTAAACCTCAGACTTCCTTCTCTAGTCTTGACTCCTTCAACTCCATTCTTTTCTTGGGTGCCAGATACACTTTTTAAAAATCAGGCCAAGTCCCTGTCAAGCTTACTCACCATTCACAGGGCACCTTGCCTCCCACCACTCTCCACCACCCCCATCGGGGATACCCATGCCCACCTGGCTTCTGCACACTTAGGCTCGTGCAGCTTACGGTGGTGCCATGCCTGGTATGCTCTTTCCTTTCCTCTTCATCTCCTCCTTCCTCCTCTTTCAAGTCATCACTAAGTAACGCAGGTGTCTATCTGCCGCGCACCCATCCCACGGCTGATCTGAGTCTTCCTCCTCGGCACTCTGCTTTGTATCTTTCAGGGGATACTCAAAATACTGACGCTCCAGCTCTGTTCAGGCACTGTTCAATCAGAACAACAGCCCAAACCATCAGATCTGGCTGAACCAAACCTTCTGAGTGTATTTCAGTACCCATTCTTTCCACCCCTTAATTTGCCACATTGTTTTAAAAGAATATGTTCATGAATCATTCTCCCTCAGGGACCATCCTTCTTCTCTGGGTCCTGATTGCCTCACAGAGTGCCCACCACAAGGTTGGGATGCAACAAATTTCTGTTTGGCTTACCTGACCAATTTAGATGGACAGACTTCCTAACTATGCTTTGCTTAGAAGCAACAACCTCACATTCAAAACCATGAGGCGGGATACGCTGCCTTTCCTGGGATTGTTTGTGGAAAGGTGTCCAGAGGACGCATTAACACCAAAGTCAGTGGAGGCCAAAGAGAGGGCTGGAGAGAGTATCAGAGCTGAATCATAAGGAGGCCATAGAAGCTGCAATGGCAACCTTCCTGGTCTGGCCCCTGGGCCAGAGGGTGAGGTGGTCAGCACGGAACAGTGAGCAGCCATGCAGACAGGGAGAGGGCTTCTTAGAGATCCAGTGACACAACCAGAGTGTGGCTTTCCTGAACACACACACACACAGAGATGTCTCCCATAAAGAGAGAAATTCACAAAATTTAGAAATGTGTTGATGCAATAAAGGGGAACAGCCGCAGAAGAACGGCAGCAATTAAGGTAGAAAGCTGTTTGCATTTCACCTGACAAAATTGCCCCTGCTGCTGGCCTGATTCTACTTGTGTGACTGTGATGGAAGAATATTTAGTTCAGCAAGATATAAGCCAAGGAGGGAGTGATGCAAAGGAGACCCGGGACGAGGAGAGCTGCCAGTCTCTCACATCCTGGGTGATGGAGGCACCACAGCTTGCTTTTTTGTAGCTTCTTCAAGGTCCTCCAGTTTTGTCTGGGAACTTCTCAGTTTGGGTTTCCAGACTTAAGAATGACATACATTGAAGGGGAATTCATCATGATCTCAGCCTGACTTTAGACTCTTCCAGGCCTCCAGTCTCACAGACACTGGTTGCCCAATAGACTTCTGACTTAGGGAATTCTAGAGGCTCAGGCCTCCTATGACCTTGCAAAGTCTCAGTGACTTGGCCCTCAAGAATATGGGACTCAGGAAGGCAATTTATACATATATATACATATATATGTATACATATATATATAGAGAGAGAGAGAGAGAGACAGAGAGAGAGAGAGAGAGACAGAGAGAGAGTTTATATCTAAATTTCAGGGGAAGAAGGCAACGATTGAGCCAATTGATGCTTTAAGAAGAACCCGGGGGGCCAGGCATGGTGGCTTACACCTATAATCCCAGCACTTTGGGAGGCCAAGGAGGGCAGATCATGAAGTCAGGAGTTCAAGACCAGCCTGGACAACATGGTGAAACCCCATCTCTACTAAAAATACAAAAATTAGCTGAGCATGGTGGCATGTGCCTGTAATTCCAGCTACTCCAGACCAGAGGCTGAGACAGGAGAGTTGCTTGAATGGGGACCTGGGAGGCAGAAGTTGCAGTGAGCCAAGATTGTGCCACTGTACTCCAGCCTGGGCTACAGAGCAAGCCTCTATCTCAAAAAGGAAGAAGAAGGAGGAGGAGGAGGAGGAGGAGGAGGAGGAGGAGGAGGAGGAGGAGGAGGAGGAGGAGAAGAAGAAGAAGAAGAAGAAGAAAGAAGGAAGGAAGAAAGGAAGGAAGGAAGGAAGGAAGGAAGGAAGGAAGAAGGAGAAGGAGAAGGAGAAGGAGAAGGAGATGGAGAAGGAGAAGGAGAAGGAGAAGGAGAAGGAGAAGGAGAAGAAGAAGAAGAAGAAGAAGAAGAAGAAGAAGAAGAAGAAGAAGAAGAAGAAGAGGAGGAGGAAGAGGAAGAAGAAGAAGAAGAAGAAAAAGAAGCAGCAGCAGCAGCAGCAGCAGCAGTGGCTCTGTACATATATAAAGCCTTTCAGGCCAGGTTAAGTCAGGCAGATCAATCTATTTCCTTCTAAGATGTCCCTCAGCCTGGCACAGTGGCTCATGCCTGTACTCCCAGCACTTTGGGAGGCCAACAGGTGGATCACGAGGTCAGGAGTTCAAGACCAGCCTGGCCAATATGGTGAAACCTTGTCTCTACTAAAAATTAAAAAAATAAATAAAACAAATCAGCCAGGTGTGATGATGGGCACCTATAATCCCAGCTACTAAAGAGGCCAAGGTAGAAAATTATTGAACCTGGGAGGTGGAGGGTGCAGTGAGCCGAGATCACACCACTGCACTCCAGCTTGAGACAGAGTGAGACTCTGTCTCAAAAAAAAAAAAAAAAAAAAAAAAAAAGGTGTCCCTGAAGCTGCCATTGGCATC